TGAGCCCCAAACAGGTTATTTCGGCTGTCTGTGGTGTCTGCTGAGGATCTAAAGTGAGTATTGATAATATATTTTATCTTTTCTTAGTTAATCTGTAAGTTAAGCCACTTTTTAAGTTGGTTTTAACCAGACGCTAGCTCACTAGCTAGCTGCTAAGCAAGCCATTGTGCTAGCCTCAGGACAATGGTCTACTGTTCCAGAGACGTATTAAAAACTCATCTTAACATATTCATTACTGGTTTCATGGAATAAATTATTGCAGTTTATGTTAATAAGTTTGCTAATTTTTCAGGAACCTGTGGAACATCAGAGACTTTGCAGCTATTAGAGCTAACCTGTGTACTGCTAACCTGCTACAGAGGAAGCAGCAGAAAGCTGAGCTAACAGGCTGTTTTGCAGGTAAATACTCTTTTAGTGGAACTGCAGGACTTTTATGGTATAACTCAGAATCTACATGAGCTATTGTGGGAAGACTTTTAAACTACATTTACATACAGATACATGTATTTTTTATTCCATGTTACTTGGACGGACTAAACAAGTTCATAGTTCTGCCTGCTCCTTTTTCAGTGAAACAAATGGATTTTATGATGTAACTCTCTAGTAAATCTATAGTAACCATAGTCTGGTGAATAGTGTCTAGTTTAGCTACATTTAGCTTAGCTGGAGTAATATAGTCTAACTCTGCCTCAACTGGTGACTTTTCTACTTCATTGTCAGCCAGACAAAATGTTGCTACAGAGAAACGCCCAAGGTACTGACCCCACAATAAAAAATCATAATGTCCACATTTATTTCCCACAATCTCAAATGTCACACTAAAATTAAACTTTTAGCTCTGATTTAATTATTTCCTTATTGATATCAGTTTTCCCTTTGTTGTAGGTAATCCTCGGGTGTCAGCAGGAGGAGGTGACTACCTGCATTACGGAGCACCCTGGTTCTGAGCCAGTTGCACCTTTGTGCTGCTCTTTGGGGAGGCGATGCTCAGCAGGTTAAACAACTGTAAAATTGATTTTGTTCGTAGTTTTTGTTTAGATCTCATACATCACCAGTTTTTCTTTCTTACACATGCCTCCATGTGGTCAGGTGGTGTTGGTGTGATCTGGGAGGGCACACTCATGTCGTCCTCTCCTTGTGCCGTCTCCAGGATCCTGATGGGAGTTCTCTGTGCCTATAAAGCAGGGGTATTTACTTCTGGGCCTGGAGGGCCGGTATCCAGCACGTTTTAGTTTTAACTCTGTTTCAACACACCTGATTTCAGTCCGCAGATAATTAACAGGCTTCTGCAGAGCTGCTGCACAGGTAATTCAACCACTGATTCAAGTGTGTTGGAGCAGGGAAACAACTAAAACGTGCTGGATACCAGCCATCCAGGACTAGAATTGCATACCCCTGCTATAAAGCCTTCCTCCCTCCTCTGGACTTTAAACATTAGTATTTTATTACGGTTTACCTGATTTAGTAAATAAATCTCAGTTTATAAATTTCCTGTTTTGGTGCCTGTCCATAAAATCCTGCATTAGACACCGAAAGCTGAATGGATGCCTTTCATTCACTTTGACTTTCAATGTATTTTTAAAGATACACTTGAAATTAATATCAGCTGTTTAACAGAGTGGTGCAAAGTAATTGCTGATGTCATGATTTTTGCAATAACCTGACCTTCATGCAGAGAAACTCAGGAGACAAATGAGCTAAAAACAGTTTATTAAAATGTTTGACAGATGACTGAAGAAGTAACTGCTGGAGATCAGGAACCAGAAGCTTCTGCGAAGAAGAGCAGAGGTTAGTAAGAGGCAACAGGTCAGGTTTTTCTCAGACTGTGCAGGTAGCTTACAGAGACTGAGAAACGCCACAGAGATGGAGCCACAGGTTTTAGTGTTTAAAGATCAGAAGGCCCTGAGGTAAAATTGAGTGTTAGTAATGACTAAAGAATGACTTACAAAAGGAAAAGTTTAGGTACTTACAGTCTGAAATTGTAGTGCAGACGGGAGACAGCAGAATGGTGGAGAAACAACCAGAAGTCTGGGAGAATGACAACATGAGTTGCAAGCGGGTGAGCAGAAGGTAGTGGGTAAGCCGACTGCCAGTATGGTTGTGTGATCAGGAGCTTCAAGGAAAGAATTCCCATAGATCTGCATAGAACATGAGAACGTAAGTTTGAAAAACGGCAGAGTCATGGGCTAGATATGGGTTAAAACACTCTGATGAGTGACCAGCTACCAGCTTTTATTCAAGGATGGGGTCACAGGTGTGTGAGGATGTGCCTGCCCCATGAGAAGAGTTTTTAGGTAAGCCTCTCCATGGTGCTCTGCAATGGTGACTAGCAAGGCTAAGGAAGAGATTAAAGGGAACACAAACCCAGGACTCCGACCCAAACTCCTAATAGCAACACAACGACTCCTCCCACAGGCGGTTGTTCCACGGGAGTACAGTCACACGCAGCTGCCCGAAGTTCAGCATCAGGCAACCTGTAGGAGATGTAATCATACGTGGCTTCTGAGCATGCAAGTTTATTCTAACTGTACAGCGTACAATAATAATAAAGATTTATATTGTGTTGTGTTGTTCACCTTGCAGGTTCTTTTAAAATCTTAACCTGTGCCTGCTTACAGCAGGTCTTTCAGGTCTTTTGAACTAGACACAGAGAGGTTCAGGCACAGGTACTTAGTCAGACTCCTGATATGGTAGAGCATCCACCACCACAGACTCCTGATATGATAGAGCATCCACCACCACAGACTCCTGATATGGTAGAGCATCCACCACCACAGACTCCTGATATGGTAGAGCATCCACCACCACAGACTCCTGATATGATAGAGCATCCACCACCACAGACTCCTGATATGGTAGAGCATCCACCACCACAGACTCCTGATATGATAGAGCATCCACCACCACAGACTCCTGATATGGTAGAGCATCCACCACCACAGACTCCTGATATGATAGAGCATCCACCACCACAGACTCCTGATATGGTAGAGCATCCACCACCACAGACTCCTGATATGGTAGAGCATCCACCACCACAGACTCCTGATATGGTAGAGCATCCACCACCACAGACTCCTGATATGGTAGAGCATCCACCACCACAGACTCCTGATATGATAGAGCATCCACCACCACAGACTCCTGATATGATAGAGCATCCACCACCACAGACTCCTGATATGGTAGAGCATCCACCACCACAGACTCCTGATATGGTAGAGCATCCACCACCACAGACTCCTGATATGGTAGAGCATCCACCACCACAGACTCCTGATATGGTAGAGCATCCACCACCACAGACTCCTGATATGGTAGAGCATCCACCACCACAGACTCCTGATATGGTAGAGCATCCACCACCACAGACTCCTGATATGGTAGAGCATCCACCACCACAGACTCCTGATATGGTAGAGCATCCACCACCACAGACTCCTGATATGATAGAGCATCCACCACCACAGACTCCTGATATGGTAGAGCATCCACCACCACAGACTCCTGATATGGTAGAGCATCCACCACCACAGACTCCTGATATGATAGAGCATCCACCACCACAGACTCCTGATATGGTAGAGCATCCACCACCACAGACTCCTGATATGATAGAGCATCCACCACCACAGACTCCTGATATGGTAGAGCATCCACCACCACAGACTCCTGATATGGTAGAGCATCCACCACCACAGACTCCTGATATGGTAGAGCATCCACCACCACAGACTCCTGATATGGTAGAGCATCCACCACCACAGACTCCTGATATGGTAGAGCATCCACCACCACAGACTCCTGATATGGTAGAGCATCCACCACCACAGACTCCTGATATGGTAGAGCATCCACCACCACAGACTCCTGATATGATAGAGCATCCACCACCACAGACTCCTGATATGATAGAGCATCCACCACCACAGACTCCTGATATGATAGAGCATCCACCACCACAGACTCCTGATATGGTAGAGCATCCACCACCACAGACTCCTGATATGGTAGAGCATCCACCACCACAGACTCCTGATATGATAGAGCATCCACCACCACAGACTCCTGATATGGTAGAGCATCCACCACCACAGACTCCTGATATGGTAGAGCATCCACCACCACAGACTCCTGATATGGTAGAGCATCCACCACCACAGACTCCTGATATGGTAGAGCATCCACCACCACAGACTCCTGATATGATAGAGCATCCACCACCACAGACTCCTGATATGGTGGAGCATCCACCACCACAGACTCGAACAACAGGTCCATATGCTTGTCAACTGGAAACAATGGAAAAAGATTACCATTAGTACAGATATTTATCCATAACCATCACTGTGGGTTTATTACACAGCATATGAACTACATGAGGTGGGATTGGTCTGCAGTAGGGCTGTGTATTTTTGACAGAATTTATTGTAGGAATATTCAATAAACAGCCCAAACTGATACTTAACATATATAACATGAGTTATCTGAACCATAATAGCGAGATTTAAATTTCAATGGTGGAAACAAAACCCAATGCACACTGCTGCCAACTAGCGGGCGACATTTAAAGTGCACCAAAAACAAAGAAAATACACAAATGTTTGCATGTAAATTCTTCCAAAAATTAGATACACTGCTTCTGAAAATGGATGTAATATCTCAGGAAAAAATATCATGATATATTACAATATCAATATTTTAGAGACACAGTTTGAGAATATCGATACAATATTACTGGGAAAATATATCGCAATATATTGTCATATTGATATTTTCTTACATCCCTTGTCTGCAGTGTACTTTGTGTACACTATGGTGTGTCTTAACTCACCAGCTGCAGTTGATGCATGTGGCTGTATAGCACTTCCATTGTAATGCAGTGCAGTAGTTTTCAATCTAAAAAGAAAGAATAAATAAATAAAAAATAGCTTTTAGACAAAAATATAGATTTTATGTAAAAATTAATTAAAAGCATGTATTTAAGTCATTATTGATTATCTGTCCTGGATAACATTCTTTTGATGGAGAATACAGAACACGTGACAGAAAGAACATTGAATCTGATTTGTCTTGTTCTGACAAACAAATGTCAGATCTGTATACTGGAAAGAAATGTATTATCAAACACACTCACTTAGATAATTATTCAGTCAGAGTTACATCATAAAATCCATTCGTTTCACTGAAAAAGGAGCAGACAGAACTATGAACTTGTTTAGTCCGTCCAAGTAACATGGAATAAAAAATACATGTATCTGTATGTAAATGTAGTTTAAAAGTCTTCCCACAATAGCTCATGTAGATTCTGAGTTATACCATAAAAGTCCTGCAGTTCCACTAAAAGAGTATTTACCTGCAAAACAGCCTGTTAGCTCAGCTTTCTGCTGCTTCCTCTGTAGCAAGTTAGCAGTACACAGGTTAGCTCTAATAGCTGCAAAGTCTCTGATGTTCCACAGGTTCCTGAAAAATTAGCAAACTTATTAACATAAACTGCAATAATTAATTCCATGAAACCAGTAATGAATATGTTAAGATGAGTTTTTAATACGTCTCTCTGGAACAGTAGACCATTGTCCTGAGGCTAGCACAATGGCTTATTTAGCAGCTAGCTAGTGAGCTAGCATCTGGTTAAAACCAACTTAAAAAGTGGCTTAACTTACAGATTAACCAAGAAAAGATAAAATATATTATCAATACTCACTTTAGATCCTCAGTAGACACCACAGACAGCAGAAATAACCTGTTTGGGGCTCAAAATTCATGTTGTTGACCAGGTGGGAAAAAAAATGTCTGGGAGGCTACATCACTTCCAGGTCACTGAACTGTCACTCAAGAGAAACCACTGTCCTATGGGAGAGGACTTCTCAGAAGTCCCGCCCACCCAAAAGGGTTGTGTCAGAATTGCAACCAAAAACTCAGGGATTGCAAAGGAGAAAGCCAGAAAGTGTAAGTGCAAATCTGGTAGTGAGAGCAAAGCTGTGAGCAGCGAGAACAAAACGAAGGAAATTGATAACAAAAACACATAGAGGCAAACAGAAAAAGGAAACATACTTTGTTACTCATTTTAAGAAGTTGATTCAGATAGTAAGTTTTACTTTTGAAACATGTTTTTTTTCCTTTAGTCAATATTTTTGTTCTGTCAATTTCTTAATTTTTGTTTGACCGTCAAAGTGTTTTTCTTGATCATTTTAAGAATCTGATTCAGATCGTAAGTTTTTCTTTTGAAACCCATGTTTTTTCTCTCAATGTCTTAAAATTTGTTTGCTCTCCAAAGTGTTTTTCTTGATCCTATTGGCACAAATCTAATCCCATACAGATGAGGAGACGAGGACGGACCCTTGGGGGCCTGCGCCTGGGGCAGATGAGGAGACGAGGACAGACCCTTGGGGGCCTGCGCCTGGGGCAGATGAGGAAGCGACGGGCCCTGGGAGGGTGGCGCCTCCAATCCAAGGATCGACGCCTCCAATCCAAGGGTCGACGCCTCCAAGCCAAGGGTCGACGCCTCCAAGCCAAGGGTCGACGCCTACAAGCCAAGGGTCGACCCAGCCTGCAGGGCCCTGGGAGGAGCCCTGCAGGCTGGGCCGGGGACACAAGCAGGACCGGCGACAAAGTCCCTGCAGGCTGGACCGGAGCGACCTTCAGAATCACCATTGGAACCGGAGATGGAGGAGACGTCAGACCAGAGGCAACGTCATCAGATGAGCCGACTTCAGAGGAGGCAACGTCATCGGACGAGCCGACTTCAGAGGAGGCGACGTCGGACGAGCCGACTTCAGAGGAGGCGACGTCAGACGAGTCGACTTCAGAGGAGGCGAAGTCAGACGAGCCGACTTCAGAGGAGGCGACGTCAGACGAGCCGACTTCAGAGGAGGCGACGTCAGACGAGCCGACTTCAGAGGAGGCGACGTCAGACGAGCCGACTTCAGAGGAGGCGACGTCATCAGACGAGCCGACTTCAGACGAGCCGACTTCAGAGGAGGCGTCGACCCTTGGCTTGGAGGCGTCGACCCTTGGCTTGGAGGCGTCGACCCTTGGCTTGGAGGCGTCGACCCTTGAATTGGAGGCGTCGACCCTTGGATTGGAGGCGTCGACCCTTGGATTGGAGGCGTCGACCCTTGGATTGGAGGCGTCGACCCTGGGATTGGAGGCGTCGACCCTTGGCTTGGAGGCGTCCACCCTTGGCTTGGAGGCGTCCACCCTTGGATTGGAGGCGTCGACCCTTGGATTGGAGGCGTCGTCAGACGAGCCGACTTGGGAGGCGGCGACATCAGACGAGCCGACTTCAGAGGAGGCGTCGACCCTTGGCTTGGAGGCGTCGACCCTTGGATTGGAGCCGTCGACCCTTGGATTGGAGGCGTCGACCCTTGGATTGGAGGCGTCGACCCTTGGATTGGAGGGGTCGACCCTTGGATTGGAGGGGTCGACCCTTGGATTGGAGGCGTCGACCCTTGGCTTGGAGGCGTCGACCCTTGGATTGGAGGCGTCGACCCTTGGATTGGAGGCGTCGACCCTTGGATTGGAGGCGTCGACCCTTGGATTGGAGGGGTCGACCCTTGGATTGGAGGGGTTGACCCTTGGATTGGAGGCGTCGACCCTTGGATTGGAGGCGTCGACCCTTGGATTGGAGGCGTCGACCCTTGGATTGGAGGCGTCGACCCTTGGATTGGAGGCGTTGACCCTGGGATTGGAGGCGTCGACCCTTGGCTTGGAGGCGTCCACCCTTGGCTTGGAGGCGTCCACCCTTGGATTGGAGGCGTCCACCCTTGGATTGGAGGCGTCGTCAGACGAGCCGACTTGGGAGGCGGCGACATCAGACGAGCCGACTTCAGAGGAGGCGTCGACCCTTGGCTTGGAGGCGTCGACCCTTGGATTGGAGGCGTCGACCCTTGGATTGGAGGCGTCGACCCTTGGATTGGAGGCGTCGACCCTTGGATTGGAGGGGTCGACCCTTGGATTGGAGGGGTCGACCCTTGGATTGGAGGCGTCGACCCTTGGATTGGAGGCGTCGACCCTTGGAATGGAGGCGTCGACCCTGGGATTGGAGGCGTCGACCCTTGGCTTGGAGGCGTCGACCCTTGGCTTGGAGGCGTCCACCCTTGGATTGGAGGCGTCGACCCTTGGATTGGAGGCGTCGTCAGACGAGCCGACTTGGGAGGCGGCGACATCAGACGAGCCGACTTGGGAGGCGTCGACCCGTGGTCCGGGGGCGTCGGCTTCTGGCCCGGGGGCGTCGCCTTCCATCGGCTTCTAGTTCTCCGGCTTCTGGACTGCCGTCTCCGAACCGCCGACTTCTGGGCTGGTAACGTCTGCTTCTGGGCCTGCACCGGACCCATCTGCTTCTGGGCTGGTACTGTCTGCTTCTGGGCCCGCATCGTCTGCTTCTGGGCCGGTACCGGAACCATCTGCTTCTGGGCTGGTACCGTCTGCTTCTGGGCTGGTACCGTCTGCTTCTGGGCCCGCACCGTCTGCTTCTGGGCCTGCACCGTCTGCTTCCGGGCCTGAACCGTCTGCTTCTGGACCCCCCCTGGAACAGGCCTTGAGTGAACGAGCAGTGCTAGTGCTGAAGACAGGGAGCGCAGAGCGTCCAGTCGGAGCTGATTAGAATGGGCGCTCTGTTGAAGCCGGACCAGCTCAGCCCGTTGACTGGCCAGTTCAGTTTGCTGGATTGTGGGTGTGGCTCCACCTCCCACAGACGACAGAGGAGCCTAGTGGACCGGAGGCGGGACAGCTGGTCCAACCGGGGACGGGTCCAAGCAGCTGAGTCCAGCCAGAGCCGCGAACAGTTCGTCCAGCTGGAGCTCAGCGAGCAGGTGGTCCAGCTGGAGGACTTGGAGTTCGATGGTCTGACGAACCTGGGCTGTCTCAACCTGTAGACTGGCGTGCTCCGCCCACAGGGCTGCGAGCGCAGCTCTTCCTCCTGCAGACGCCGATTCGGCCGGAGACGGGACCGCTGGTCTGACCGGGGGCATGTCCGAACTGGCTCGCCAAGCACGGCCAGCGGCGGGCTCGCAGCTCCGTCCTGAAGCGCAGGGCTGCGGTGGATTCCGGCGTCTCTCCCCACACCGTGGACCGACCCCGGGGGAGCAGAAAGCCAGCCTCGTGCCCTCGAAGCTGGAGCGATCCCGGAGCGTCTCTCCATCCAACCTACTGTCCGGTTCTGGAAGGGCGGCGAGGAACGCCGAGGCAGATGGTCGGGGATGCCGTCTGCGGCGAGGCGGAGCTAGAGCTGGGGAAGGAGAAGCCGGTTGATAGTCGGCGGAGAGGAACTGGAATAGATACTTCCATGGGAGGATCTCCCCGCTGGACCCTTCAGGGGGTCGTGTCATTCCGTCACGAGCGTGCCGGGCCGCGAGGCGGTGATCAGATAAGGATCCAAACGCGGGGAGGAAGATGGAAACCAGGTAGGTACTTTTACCATTAGTTTCTTTAATGAAGCACGCTGGACACTGAAACAATGACACGACATGGAACACAGAACAGAAGGGGTTTAAATACACGAGGAGAGGGAGCTATGGTGATTGGGAAACAAGAGGCAGGTGGGAGCAATTAACGGAGACACCGACTAAAACCTAAGAGAAGACAGGACAGGGCGTGACAGTTTCAGAGGCGTCGCGCGTAGAAAATAGAACCGGCGCGTAAGGGCCGCGACATGCTGCTCCTGAGGCGCGGCCGACTCGCGCTGCTGACGGCTCCGGTGGAAAAGGTTCTGTCGACCACAGCGGTTCCTATCAGCAGCTATGACGTGCTGCTGCGGTAACGCGCTGCTGACGGCTCCCGTGGAAAGAAGGGGTGATGGTGCATGCACACAGAAAGTCAGGACTTACCCATTAAAAATATGGGTGCATGTCTTTAAGGTTTCATCAGAGGGCAGATAAATGTGACCGTGTGCATCCTCATGTGTTTGAATTTTAGGGCTTTTCTCCCAATAAAAGAATAGGTTTCATTTCTGCACAGAAAGAAAAAGCCCTAATTGGCCAATCGCGCTGCATGTTGCAGTGTCGAGCATGAGCTACAGGGCGACTCGTTGTTGGCTGCACTCTGCTGTGCTCATTAGAAGCCACAGCTCAAAAATATTTTAGACAAACTAAAAAAATTTGCCAACGGTGACGTCACAGCTGAAAACAGGGCAGACTCACTCATCCTAAATGGCTTTTACTCATCAAAACCTGCTCCTATCTGAGTTTTTACAGCCTGCCTTCAAAGCATGACAGACAGCAGCTGCTAATTGATTATTTAGGAAACACAGGCATGAACGCCACTTAGCATAAAATAACCAATAAAGAATGACACAAAAATAGATTATTTTGTAAATCAAAGTAAAAACCGACAAAGTGCTGATGAAATTGCAAAGTGTGACAGTTTGGACATGCGAGCAGGCTCAGAACAGCTTCTCAGGACTTAGAGAAAGTGAAAGCAGTTAAAAGATGGTGGATAAATTGCATTTGTGTGCTTTTTAAATGCTGTTTGTGTCATTTGAAGCATTCGTTATAACAAACTGATTCAAACATTCAAACATCCAGATGTAAAAAACATCTGGATACATTTATGTTGAAAACAATGACCGTTTCAGTCAGGTTGAGGTCCATCAGATCAGATGCCTGAAGTTTTACTGAACAAACAAAAGTACACGCTATTGACTTAGTCAGGTTATTGCTCTGCAGCTGATATGTCAACATGCACATCTTCTTTCTTTCCCCATCGTTTCCTTTTGAAGCCGGTAAATCAGGCACGGAGCAGAAACTTCACAAGCCGGTCGGACAAACATATTGGCAGATTTTGCAGTCTGTGTAGCCAACAAACTGCCCTGATGTGGGGCTTTGATCCTAAATCCAGTGCACTAATTACTATTTCTGACTCTACCACGGGTAGATGCAGCAGGTCACTTATGACGT